TATCGTCTCTCTCTCTCTCTCTCTCTCTCTCTCTCTCTCTCTCTCTCTCTGTTTTTCTCATTGAAAAATACTCAAAAAAAAAATTTCAATTTTTCTACTCGACACTTTTGTTTAACGTTTTCAATTGACATTGAGTACAATTTTAACACTTTAACAACTTTAAATAAACGATTAAAAAAACTAATAATAATAATAATAATAATAATAATAATAATAATAATAATAATAATAATAGTAACAATATAAACAATAAACAAACGTAAAATTATTTTTTAAAAAAAAAGAGAGCGAACGTCGAAATTTTTCAAGCAACGACGATTCGACATTTTTTTTACAATCATCATTATTATCATTATTTTTTAAATTACTCCATTAATATTTTATTAATCCATTGTTGCCAAATGTTAAATGTATTAAATGTTAAAGAAAGTAAATAGTAATTATTAAAAATTTTTTAAATTGTAAATAAATAATAAATGTGACGACTACCCGTTCTTTTTTCTCTCCTTCTTCAGATTTTAGATATATAATAATTAAAATAAATAAAAAAATTATTTGTTATTATTATTATTATTATTATTTGTTAATTCTGATATATGATTTTAGTGCGAAATAAAATTTATTATAAAAAAAAAATTAAATTAAATTAGTTTCCGAAATAAATCTAAATACAAAACCAGTTTTGCAAAAAGAATTTTTTTTTGAGAAAAAAAAAAAATCTGACACCCCCTTTCTCCCTTTCTCTTATCAAATTATTGTTTTTTTTTTTTTTTTTTTTTTGGAGCGGTTTACTCTTCACCTTCAATAAAATAAAATGTGTGTTATACTATCAATAATTAAGTCATTTTGATAATTTTTTTTGAATCGAAGAGAGGGGACATTACAAAACTTGTAATTTTTTTTTTCAATAAAATTATATTCTATTTAACTGAACTATATATTTATTTAACCATCAATGCCCTGTTGCCACCCTTCTTCCATTCAAGAAAATTATAATTTTTATTAAAAATAAAACGAATAAAAAACATAAAAAAAAACATAAAATAAATAAAAGGAAACAAATAAATGGAGGGGTAAATAAAAAAAAAAAAAAACAATTTAATTTCAATAAGTGAACAAATGGTAATGGCGATGGTAAGTAAAATTTAATAAATTTAAATAATGGTAATAATATTTTTTTAGAAAGGAAATTTTCAAAATTAAATATTTCGATGATGATAATCATAATAATAATAATAATAACAACACCAATCATAACACGCGCCGGTTTAATAAAAAAATTATAAAAAAAAAAAAAAATATTATAATAAATTTCAAACGATCACGAAAATTAATCTTATAAAATTTATTTATTGACCGATTTACGATTTGAGTAAATTTGTTAAATTTCGTTTAAACAAAAAGATAAATTTTTTCTGTTAAACTTGAAAATATAAAAAACGAAAACGAAAGAGAGAAAAAAAAAAAGTAAAATTAAACAAAAAATTGTAAAAAAAAAAAAATTTTCTTTTTCTTTTGGAAACAATTCATGAGATTCGTGAATTTTATGATTTAAAATAAAAATACGTGATAGAAAGTGCTTAAACTTAAACTTAAATCTTGCAAAAATTATGATGTAAAGGAAGAGAGAGAGAGAGAGAGAAAAGCTGTGTGGAATATGTTACAAATCCATTATTAAGATTGAAAGGTAAAAAAAAATTTTTTTTTTTTTTTTTTTTTAGTAATACAACAAACGAGATAAATCACACGATGATTTGTTATTTAAAAAAAAAAAAAAAAACAAATTGTCGGAAAAACTTATTATTTTTTTTTTTCAATCATTTTTATTACACGTTTCACATATAAAACTTTGTTTTGTTTTTAAATTTTTTTTTGGTTCGAATTGTAAAAAACAATCCCCTCTAAAATTATTATTATCATTGAAAAAAAAAAAAAAAAAAAAAGATTACAAACGACTAATTTTTTTTTTTTTTTTTTAAACAAATGATTCCAAAAGTTCCAAACACCTTTTTGCTTTTTTTTTTTTAACGTACAAAAAAAAAAGGGCAATAATAAACTTGACTCCTATTAATTAATAACTACATAATTACACTTTTAATTTAAAATAACCATTATTAATTTGTCTTTTACTTATTTTTTTTTTTTATCATTAATCAATTTTTAATTAAACACCACGAAAGCATTTTCAGACTTTGATTAATACCTAGATTTGTTCTTCTTTTTATTTATTTTTTATGTGAACTTTATTTAAAATATTTTAATCGCGAGGAAATTAAATAAATAAATAGTATACGAAACTATTATAAATTATTAACAAGTGATACACGTAGAAAAATTAAACGATTTAATTTTTTTTTTCATATTTAAAACTTCCTTCCCCTTCCCTCCCGAAAAAAAAATAAATAAATAAATAAATCAACAGGATAAAAATTTTGCTAATAATAATAATAATAATAATAATAAATATCTTAAGGCGAAAAATTTTTTATATAAAAAAAATAAATGATCGATTCGATATATAAATTTAAGGCGTGGAATCAGTTCTTCTATTCCTTTTTTTTTTTGACATGAATGTTGTATTAAAAAAAAAAAAAATAAAATTGATTTGTCGGATTTTATTAAAAAATACAAAAAAAAAAAAAAAAAAAAAAAAGAAGTAGAAAAAGTAGAAGATAAATCAATTTCAATTTGATAGATTTATTTGAAAAAATTTTGCTGAAGAATGTAGAATAAAGAATGATGTAGATTTGTAATAATGCAAAAAAAAAAAGATGGCCACCACGGT